TCCAGTCGTTTCCTTTCAGCCCATCACGCTGTTGCTGTTGAATAGCCGGGTTGTAAATCTGGTCGACGCGCATCAAGAGTTTCTGCTCGTCTTTGATAGCCACATTACCGACTGCGCTTCCGATATGAAGTCTGGATCCAGAGGCACATAGTTCACAGGATTCACGAGCTTGTTTCACCAACTCTCGCGTAGGAACTACAATCAATCCTCTTAGTCTGGACGCAGGTCTCGCTGGCAGAGCGGTAACAAGGGGGAGAACGTAGGAAAGTGTTTTTCCGGACCCAGTTGCCGCAGAGACACAAATATCTCCAGGGTGGTTTTGCTCTCCTTGTAGAAGGAGGGGAATGACGGTAGACTGCACAGCAAAGGCCTCTTTGTAGTTCTGTTGTTCCAGGATTTTTAGAAGGTCTGGCTTGATTCCGAGTTCGGAAAATTTCTTTGTGTCCTGGGCTGATTTGCGCAATGGATTGGCCAGCCACGGGGGTAGAGATGAATATGTTGGGATTTGCTCTGGCTCGGGTGGGTTTTCGGGTTGAGGTAGTCGTTCAAGACCCTGTGCATAGACGGCTTCGACAGCAGGTGTCTCATCTTCAACAACTTTGGGTTCAACTATTTTGGCTTTAGCGCTGGAGACGGTTTTGGTGCGCTCGAACTTTGACATGATCCCAGAATGCTTATTCTTCGATTTGGGTTGTTCGATTTTCGGTGCTTCAACTTCTTCATCGCCATTTCCTGTATTCACAGATGCAGCCGCATCATCCAATATGTCATCTGTTCCAGAGCTCTTTCGCTTGTTCTTTTTCGATTTCCCTGCCGTTTCGCTGACGCCATTGCGCGAGTCTGCAACATTCGCTTTTTTGCGGTCTGACGAGAGAGTACTTTCTTTCCGGGGCGCTTCCGGCGAATTCGATCCTTGGAGCGCATCCTTAAGATGCTTGCGTTTCTTAATGCTGCCATCATCTGTGTCCTCTGCGATCGGCAAGCTTTCGCGTTTCTTATGCTTCTTCGTTGGCGTGGGAGTCGCTGCAGGCTGAGAGCCATGGGGATCTCTCTTGCGCTTGTGAGACTGAGTGGATTTCGGAGTCACATCAGCCTTCTTGGAGGACTCGAGGCCCGAATTTTTGCCGACCATTCTCACGTAATTCCGCCAATGTCGGAGTTGGCGTTGGGTGCATCGTGGGGATCAAATTCCTTTCCTCTGAATATTTTATGCCGACAGAATACGTAATGGTCTCACCGCCCTCGCTACCGCCCTGCTTATCGGGACAGCTTCCAGATGTCTCCAGGACTCCTATATCCATTGGCTTGGATGGACTGGTGTTTTAAGCAGCAGATCTGTTCGCCATGGAAAGGAATTTGACTCGAAGCGCAAATTCGACAGCTCGGAGTTCTCGCCCTGAGAACCACCGCCACGATGCCTTATAACATCGCGTCAGTGTTGGTTCTATCTACTCGCCGCGATTACTTGCTAACATCGTTCTTGGTTGTAGAATGGTCAGTGACTTCTTTTTTCCCCAGTCGGGTATGCCATATTCTTTTCCCTGTAATCTATATAATCGCTGACTTTTCTAGGTGGAATTGAGAGTCACATATACCAATTGTCGTCCGTAAGCACGCTACCTTGTCGCTCCGCCTGTACTCTTGTTAATTCCTTCCCAGAAACTCATTGATCGGGGACACAAAGTCATTGTTATTACCCATGCGTACAAAGGACGTACCGGAGTCCGATACCTCACCAATGGACTGAAGATCTACCACGTTCCGTTCTTCGTCATCTACCGCGAAACGACATTCCCTACCGTCTTCTCGTTCTTCCCCATATTCCGCAATATCGTCATCCGAGAGGAGATTGACATAGTTCATGGCCATGCCAGTCTGAGTAGCTTTTGTGGAGAGGCTATTCTCCATGCTCGTACTATGGGACTGCGAACTGTCTTCACAGACCACTCCCTTTTCGGATTCGCTGACGCAGCATCAATTCTCACGAACAAATTGCTTAAGTTTACTTTGAGTGATGTCGATCATGCAATTTGCGTTAGCCACACTTGGTAGGTCCCCCGCGGCCGTATTACACGACTCCGCTAACAAGTTGCAGCAAGGAAAACACAGTGCTTCGGGCTTCGTTGGATCCATTAATGGTGTCGGTCATTCCAAACGCCGTGGTAGCAGAGAATTTCTGCCCTCTGTCTCATACTAATCGTGCGCCTGATCAAGGCCTCGGCTCGCCCGCCGGTGCTTCAGTGTCCCCCAGACAAATCGGGCCCGACGATCCGATTACAATCGTGGTCATCTCCCGACTTTTTTACAATAAGGGCACAGACCTTCTCATCGCATCTATTCCGCGGATTCTTGCATCCAATCCCAACACTCGCTTCATTATTGCAGGATCTGGGCCCAAAGCAATCGACCTTGAACAGATGTTGGAACGCAATGTGCTTCAGGATAAAGTTGAACTTCTAGGTTCAGTCCGACACGAGGAGGTCCGAGATGTTATGGTGCGAGGTGACATTTATCTTCATCCGAGTCTGACAGAAGCATTCGGGACAGTCATTGTTGAAGCTGCTAGTTGTGGTCTTTACGTGGTCTGTACCCGCGTTGGTGGTATTCCAGAAGTTTTACCCCAGCACATGACAACATTCGCCAAACCGGAAGAGGATGATATTGTGCTTGCAACCAGCAAGGCAATCGCGGCTTTGCGCTCGAACAAAGTGCGCACGGATCGATTCCATGATCAAGTGAAGATGATGTATTCATGGCGGGATGTGGCCGCGCGCACTGAGCGCGTGTACGAAGGCATTGTCGGCGACATCAGCCCAGAGGAATTCTACGGTTACTATCCAGGCCAGGGCTGGGAAGCGAGTGGAGATCGCGTTCGCAGCTTTGCGCTAATTGACCGGTTGAAACGCTACTACGGTTGTGGTGTCTGGGCAGGCAAGCTGTTCTGCCTGTGTGTGGTGATTGACTTCTTGATCTATGTCTTCCTTGAGATGTGGTTTCCACGAGCCAACATTGACATTGCACGAAGCTGGCCAAAGAAGCAACCGGCGAGCAAAACTCGTGAGGCCACCAGAAGTGTCCGCTGAGAAAAATGACTTCAAACCCTCTCCGCAGAGAACACCGGCCTACCAATATGTTTCTGGCCGACTCTCGGTTCTGCGCCTATCCTGCTTCTCATAGTCTCGTCTAACCGACCCCCTTCACGCTAGTGCTGCACCCATTTTTTACATATCCTCATGCATAATACCACATACGTAATGTCTAACTGACAGGATAAAACGCCTGAAATCGTTCCTGCGGTAGTTTCACTCACCTAGATGATATGGCTGGTAGCTGATAGTTGACCAGACTTGACATTGAATAGACTGCATTGGTATATTAACAGATTAACAGAAAACGTAATTATCGTGAACGCCATTATGCACCTTGATATGCTGCGCTCGACATTATGTACGAGAATGGTCGGCAGCCCAAGTTGGAATCAACGCATCACTGGAGGCCTGCCCTCTTTGTTCCACTTGACACGACTTTGTACCCACTCCACAGCCGCCTGGACACCAGACCCAAGCAGCGCGCTGACCGGCAGCACACGACTATCACGGACGCCGCCTCCTGTTTCCCCTTCAAACACCTTCCGGACAAGCCCTTCCTTGATGCGAACCACTTCCACGCAGTCCTCACGGTCCTGCTTATTTGCTAACACCAGGATAGGAACACCAGCCACGTCGGCACTTTGTAAGACCGACTCGAGGACTTGCCGGCACTCGTCTAAGCGCCCGAACTCACTGCTGGCCGCGTTGATTCCAACATTTTGCTCCGAGAAGGCCTCGGCACTTGTGCTTCCTCTTGCGCCGTTGCGTGCTGGACCTGCCACGGAGCTTGCGCGCCGGGCAAGTCGTGCGATATCGGGATCTTGACCAACGTCGGCACTATCGACCACGAAAATGATCGCGTGGCAGCTAGTGTAGTAGCTCTGCCAAAGACCGCGCATCGAGATCTGACCTCCGACATCCCAAATTTTCAAGTTCATGTCCGGTAACGCTATTGTTGCGACATTCTGCCCGACAGTGGGGACGGTTTTTCCGGGGTTGGGTGCCGGGGCGCCATCGGAACGGGGTTGGTACAGCGCCTTGATCTGGGATAGGAGTGTGGTTTTGCCAGCGTTGTCTAACCCAAGCAGAAGAACAGAATACTCTGTAGTTTAAAATAATTAGCGTGGAAGGTTATGCGATGGGAGAGAATAGTTACCTTCTTTGCTTGTGGCGGCTAAGTACAGCGACTTGGCCAGGTGATACATGATCGCGTTCCCTATGGGGGAGCCCAAGGCCAAGCGCAATTAGGAATTATAGAAAAACGGGATCAGAAGCAGAAATCATGACATCGCAGTCGGTTCTCTGACGTTGAAGCTCACGATCCCTGGGGCCGCGTTGCAGCCTCATCCGTTTTGGGAAGTTAGGGTTTAGGGTTGGGAGTGATCTGGGGGATGTTGCAATCCGAACTACATCGGACATTTCGATGTTGCGCATCATACAGGTTAACATGCATTCAATACGTTCGACTTTCAAATATGTTCAATCTCAAATCTTCAGAAATATGACGCTATAATGATAAACGCTACACTTGCCGGCGAATATTCCGGTTTCAGTTTCCCAACTCATTCCAAGCGGCAAATGGAAGATCGTCGATTTTTCCGAGTCTCCTCTTCTCCCCACCTGCAGGTGGATTCCGCTTCCCAGGGTTTGTCAGCTTTTGATTATTGATCGACGGACTTGTCGATACGAACCCCCAAACTTAGTCTGGGGCATTCACCTTTCCTCTTGAATTGCCTGCGCTACAAATGTCTCGTTTCCCTATGGCCTTGCTGTCGACCTCTGGTGAGAAGGCAATGTGACAAGGATCCCATCCCGCTTAGATTGGATGATCTACTTTTTTTTTTTACCCTGTCGCATGTCTATACCAGTATGCCACACCCTCGATCACTGATTTGATATACATTGCCGTCAATGGAGATTGACACTATCATCGTCGGTACGTCTATCATGGTTGACGCCCCATCTTGAAGCCATTCGGGATTTTTCCCTGCTTGAGCCCCACACCCCACCCCGCGCCGTTAGTTGTGAAATGGCAACTGATAGAACCGACATTACCAGGCAATGGGCCGTCGGCCATGATCCTTTCATACATCCTCCATGGACATATCCCTTTCTACTCATCTAACCCTCCACATCCCGATCATCTATTGGACGCCAAGTTGAAAGCTGCGCCAGAGATTTTGAATGCCGATGTGAATGCTCTTACAGCGCACTTTGACGCCTCGCGCCTATCATACTCGACTCAGGCCCTTCCTGTGAACGTCTTACTGGACACACTTGTACGGCCGAGTGTGGATGTGGACGAGCCCGGCTGTATCTCAAACATTGATTGGCGCTCACAGCCTGAGAAGGCTGTCTCACATGCTGTTTTTGGAAAATCCTTGAAGCCCGGAGGCCAGTGGACTGAAGATCCATGGGGTGCAAGTTGGGATATCCAGACATTGAGTTATGCGGCAATGCTGTCCTTGCCCGGTTACTCCTTTGCCGACCATCATAAAAAGACCACGGGCAAGGACCTACCATCGTACACAAGGCCCACGCGGCGCGACATCGCCGATTATTTTGCTGCTTATCCGGAGGCTGCGCATATCAATGATGCGTTTCGGTGTGGAGAAGAATTGGAGGGCATTTCCCGCACCGCTACTGGATTTTATGTTCGTTCTCATAACCTCCACTGCAAGCGCTTAGTCCTAGCAAGTGGAATCTTTTCCGAGATCCTCTCACCAGAGCCGGTATTACGTCCATTACTTGAGACCAAGTCCTCGCCTAATGTCCCGCTACTCGTCGTTGGATCTGGCTTCTCCGCTGCGGATTCCATCATCTCCGCCTCCCCTAACCAAAAGATTTTGCACGTATACAAATGGTCTCCGAATGACCGCCCATCACCGCTTCGGGCCTGCCATCAGCAAGCGTATCCAGAATATGCTGGTGTCTACCGTCTTATGAAACGAGCTGCTCTCACAGCCGAAGCTGCTGGTAAAGATCAGCGGCCAAAGTATCGACGCGCGACTTCAACACCATTCCTTGAAAGCCGGAATTGGGAAGACCTCTATAAAGGTCTCCCTAATGTTGAAGTGACAGCCGTGAAAGTCCACGGCAAGCTGGCCACGGTCACATTCCGCCGCCAAGATGGAACTGTTTCTTCTCAGACCGTGGGCGGCCTTGTATATGCTGCCGGCCGGCGAGGCACGCTAGATTACCTTGATCGCGAGCTCCGCTGTGAAGTGTTGGGGCAGGACAATCAAGAGGATCCAGCGGTCACCGGCCAGACCCTCCGTGCGAAAGCACTCGATGACCTCGAGGTCGCACCGGGAATTTATATCATCGGCAGCCTGACTGGAGATTCTCTGGTCAGATTCTCCTACGGCGGGTGTGTCTACACTGCTAGGCATCTGATAGATGGCGAGCGGGACACCCGCAGTGACTATAGTAGTTATGCGCCATCTGCTAAACTACATGGGTCTTCGCTTTCCGTGATGAACGGCATGGATGGTCACCATGTCTACCCAAATGGCAATGCATCGGACCTGACTCGTGAAGATACCTTCAGCAAAATGTCAACAGTCACAAACCAGTCTGCTGTACGTGGTTGGTGGAGGACATTCTCCCGCATGTGGAATGATCTTACACGATGAGTGTTTCGACGAGAATATGTTGCATGTATATCACGATCCGAAATGTAAAGTTCTAGAAATGCCATGAAAAGGTACATATATTGTCTCATCTATCTCATTTTCAAAGAATTCCACAGATACTTCGGTGGCAAGTGAGTCATGGTTACATCTTCCCGAGGTCAGCCCTAGACTTACTATAGTTAGTTAACTATCTGAGGTTATATGCTTACCAATTCACTATAATGGATAGTTAATCTGGATTCATTTTTTTCTTATTGAAGAGAAAGTAGAGAGACAGAGTATAAGAAGCCCGAATATCCCAAATCTCCCCAAGACGGGCATTGTCCAGAGCTATCCTTCCTAACTTGACTTTCTCTTCAACATCAAAAGATGTGGCCATCCAATGACCCGATCTCAGCCTATGGCTTCACACCTGTTTTATCGTCAGCTACTGCTCTTCTTGCAACAGATCCTCCTGCAACACCCGCCCCATTCATTGCAGTGACCGAAGTTCCGACTTCAACAACATCCCTCGCGCAGCGGATCAATGAGTATGCAAGGTCTCATCTTCCTGAGCCGACATACAATCATTCCCTTCGGGTTTACCACTTTGGGCTTGCGATCAAGCGATACAGGTTCCCTGAATGGGCCTTTACCGATGAAACATACTTCCTTGCCTGCCTGCTTCATGATATCGGAGCAACGCAACGTAACTTGGAGGCTACTAGAATGAGCTTCGAGTTCTTTGGGGGCTTGAAAGCACTGGAAGTCCTGCAGAACCTACAGCCCTCCTTTGTAGGAGGCGGGGTCGCAGTCGCCCCGAAAGATCAGGCAGAGAGCGTGGCTGAAGCAGTCATCCGGCATCAGGACTTGTGCGAAAAGGGTAAAATCACAGCACTCGGTCAATTGCTTCAGTTGGCAACAATCTTCGGTACGTTCGCCCTCTATCAGAGTCACCTGTCCTCAAGATCCCTTGAACCACGACTAATACCATGCTACTATTCACTGGCTTTAACAAGTGATAGCTCGACTGACTTGGAAAACAGACAATACTGGTTTATATGCGGATCTCATTCATCCCTCGACTATCCAAGATGTTTCCAACCATTTCCCTCGCTTGAAATGGAGTGGTTGCTTCGCTAGTACCATTCATGAAGAGAATCGGCTCAAGCCCTGGGCACACACAACGACGCTTGGCGAGGAAGAATTCCCCAGCAAGGTGCTCGGAAATACTCTAATGGCACCATATGAATGAGGGCATTTCGAGGCTTTCAGAGGACTGACTGCGTGTGATTGGCGCCCGAAATGTAGCTCTAGAGCCCCTAGCTACTGACAATAAACATGGACAAGAGAATTGAGAAGCACAATAACATGAACATATCGTTCTAATTTAATCCGAAAAGTAGTAAAAGCTGGCCAGTTGGTGTAGAGATGTGTTGAAGTCCAAACTACATATCCCCGCGAACTCGGACGAAACACCTTCATGGATCCTCCACAGAAGCCAAACATGCTTCAAGCTATCCTGACCACCTTTTTTCTCCTGGTACCATTTTATTGCATATACAAACCCCCAATTCTGCTCATTCGTTACTGTCAACGTCGCTGGCCCGACGTACTCTTCCGTGTGGACACAAACGACAAAGTGATTGCGTTGACCATTGACGATGCGCCCTCCATACGCACACCTGCAATTCTTCGCCTATTACAATCGCACAATGCAGCTGCAACTTTCTTCCTGATAGGATCCCAGATCACAGGGTACGAATCTGTCTTGGCTGATCTCGTCCGAGCTGGCAACGAACTGGCCAACCATGCCATGTATGATGAACCATCGCGTGCACTGAGCGACGATGCCTTGGCGGGTCAGATCCGAGCAGTCCATGCCATGATCCAGGAAGCATATGTCGCAGGAGATACATCACAGCCAGAGAGTTGGCTCTTTCGCCCTGGCTCGGGATTTTTTAGCTCCCGGATGAGAACTCTTGTAACGGAGCTGGGCTATCGGCTGGTGCTCGGCGACGTGTATCCGCATGACCCGCAGGTGCCATTTTGGAAACTGAACGCGAGTCATATTTTGAGTATGGTCAAGCCAGGGAGTATCATTGTTTGTCATGATCGGAGAGAGTGGACGGTGCCCATGTTACAGAAGGTGTTGCCGGAGCTGAATCGCAGAGGGTATCGCGTTGTCACAGTTTCCGGGTTACTGAAACAGACCGGTTCAAATTGATGGCAGAATGAATATTACAAGTGTACATGTCTTCTTCTCGAAACGCTATGGGTATATTCGGACACTATTTTCAAACAGGCTAGCCCATCATCTGCAATTGATCCTCCGGGGGCCAGCGGACTTGCGCAAAGCTCAAGCAGCGTTTGATACTTTGTAGATACTTGCGGGTAATCTCGTCACTCAGAATATGTGCCTGCTGGTCACTCTGATGCAGCTTCTCTCGTGCAGATCGCTCGTGAATACCAACCATGGTCACACCAATGGGCCACGCTCTATAGACATATTAGCGTCATCTCTAAATTTACCAGTGGTGGGATCGACATACGCTTTACCGATGCTCACGCGTAGGTAAGCATCATTTGCATCGACATATCGCCGTTGCTGCGCCTTGTGCACGATTTCAACGATGGGTTCCAGCAGCCCATCCTCCAGGTCGGACTTCTCGAAGAGGCGGAACAACGGGGTCATATTTTCGCGTGACTGGATCATGGCATTGAAGGCTTGTTTCCCCTGGAAACTTTCCCGCACAGAGATGTCACGCTTTGCTAATGCCAGTTCCCATTCCGACAAAACCATGTTGAAGTAAGATGCCAACTGCCGGAAAAGGAACAGACGGTTCCCTTGGTCCTTCGGGATCTTGGCCGGAATGATCATCTGCCCACCAGACACGGGCTCCAGGGTCGTTGGAATAGGACCGTCGGTCACCTTCTTCTTGGGAATAGCGGCCCGTTGAACTAGACGACGGTACCGTCGAAGACGGGCTCGATAGTCCTCTCCGAACAATTTTATTGGCGCATTCATCTCTCGTAATTTTGCAGTAAGCTCCTCCTCCTCGATATCTTCCTCTGCGTCACCGTCGGCTGCGGTATTCTCAGGCAGCTCAGGCAGACCGAGCCTCCGCCGTCGTTCACGTTCTTTGGCTGTTTCTTCTTCTTCTCTCCTCTTCTTGGACTCCTCGGCTAGTCTTCGCTTCTTCTCCTCCCGTTCTCGGTTTCGATCCGCTTCTTCTTCTTCGAGCTTGCGCTTATTCGCCATGCGCTCTTCACGTTCCCGTGCAAGTCGCTCTTGTTCTTCGTTGTAAGCTTCAATTCGGGCAGCTTCGACATCGCCTCGTCGCAGATATCTCTTTGTTGGTACTGCGGGGGAGCTTTTCCCGGTATCTTCGGCGGATGGCTTGGAAGCATCGCTACCCTTGGCCTTGGAGATCTCCTTGGACATCAACGCGGCGAAGTCCATGGTGGCGGGAGTGATGGAGCGAGCTTGAGTAATGCGACAGTAGCTCAAGGCAAAAGAAGACAATTAATTAAGGTGGAGTTGCGTCAAAGGACGAAGATGGGGTGTGGAGGCAGAAGGAAAAGAACGTTCGGCTTTGCACGTCAGAGAACCCGCAGCTTTTCGACGCCGCATTTGTCTCTTCCAACTCCCCTCAACCAGCATACCCCAAACGTTTACCTTCGAGGACCTTTATCCAAGCTTTAATTTATATTCAAGTCATCGCATCTTCTATTCCCTTCTGTTTTTTCCCATCCTCGGAACTGGAACCTCTGATTTTCACCCTACCATCCATCATGGCCGCTCCGTCGCGAGAGGGCCCCAAACCCTCGATCAACCGCCAGACCACTGCACCTTTTCATTTGAAGCTCTTCTACCGAGTCAACAACTATAACCCTCTATCTGACTATAGCATCCCCGCACCCTCTCGCCGCGGAGGACCGGTCAGCGGACCAAATGCCATTCGTCCAACATCACCTGTCGCATCTACAGCGCCACTCCCACCACATCTGGAGATCTACACATGGCAATCATGCACACTTCGCGAGCTCTCACAGCTTCTCACATCTGCTCTTCCATCATTACTCCCTGATCCACCAGTTGGCACCCGTCTCTGCTTCCGACTGATTTACCCCGACGCGCGCGGCGCGGCAATGGGCGGCCCCGATGCGCGTGGTCGATACTTGAGCAGGGATTTAGGCAGTGCTATTGTTGGTCCGAGGGATAGTCAATTGCGCGCAGACGACGACGAAGATAAGGAAGCACGACCTCGTGGCCCACTCCGTTTCCAGGGCTCCGAAGCCGACAGGCCCCTGCAGGATGCCCGTTTCATCGTTGGAGACTACATTGAATGCGCAATTCTCGCACCGCTCGAGGACGGATCCGTTGCGCCGGCGCTCAATGGTGCATCGGGCCCGATCATGGGACCCAGAGGTGGAGGTGGAGGTGGCATGCGCGCGTTCCGGGATAATGGCTATCCTCGTGGGCCTGGTCGTGGTCCTCGTGGTGGTGGTGGTGGTGGTGGTGGACCTCCCCATATGCCCCGAGGTGATTGGCATCGTGGTGAGCGATTGCCTGAAGGTGGACGCGGAGGCCGTCGTGGATGGGCACCATATTGAGAAGGACGAGGAGAAATTCAGTTCAAAAGCAAGTTTGTCAAAAGGGCGATGAATACCCATGTTGAGACATTGTATGATTATCTATTTTAGGACCAATGGAATCAGTACACCATCTACTACATCAAAAAAAGCAAGAATGAGGTGCCTCCTGCCTCAGTGCTACAAGGGGCCGCGCTCTGCCGCTGGGCGAAAGGAGCCACTATAACTTCATATTGCTAGCATTCTAACAATATCCGCTCTAGAAGAACCTACTTATCAAACTTTCCAAGATTTTGGCCTCTTCAATCGCCGTGAGTAGCTAAGGATGACGGGCATTCATCCTGTAGTCATGTAGACATACTCATTCCTTGGGTACTCTATGCAACATCCTTATATCCTGCCAGAGTGGAGCGTATCAAGTTAGAGAAAGGTTGAGTATGCAAATGCTTGCCAGCTATTACCATGACCTCCAACCTGGTGGCGAATAGATTCCCATCAGGACTCCCGGATAGCAACAGTCACTAGAATGGATAGCACCTGTCTTTTGAATGAGATACTCCAGGGCTGTATGCTTGACCTTGGAAGTAAACCCCAGGTTCACGCACGGTAGACTTAAGTCAAGAAAATAAAGAAATCCATGCGGTATATGCTGTGATAAAGTACACGGCCCATGCAACGGGCGCCGGCACAAAAAGAAAAAGTCGGGCAGAATCCCCTCAGCACACTCGTATCTCCAACATCTCAGTGTGTAGTCCTCCATATCGCATCATGTCACAGTCGCTGCTCGGTACGGGTTTGATAACAAAACGGGAATTGAATTATGGAGCTCATCGCTAAATTCCTACCACTCGGCGATCGAATCTCCCCTTCGCTTGCCACGGAACTCAAATTGGCCCTGCATATTGTTAGCGTGTTTCTCCGCGGGATTGGACCACAACCGCAGTCCAACCACAATGGGTCATTCCATACCTCGTACTTGTAGGCAATGTAGCCAAGGGCGCCGGGAATCAGGCCCATGTAGATGAACGATAGCATGGCATGGCGCGGGGTCCAGCGCCAGTACTTGTAACGGTTGGCATTGAGCTCTGTGGGTCCGTTAGTCAAACTTGAATCGTAGAGGATATATTATGTCGCGGCTTGCTGGGTTTGAGAAAGCTTCCCCAGGTAGCTCGCGTGTATATTTAGGCCAGCGTAATGCGCGGGACTTATCCAGAATCTGGGATCTTAGGAGATGGGATTGGGGGCATGTACCGTAGTATTTCTGGAGGGCCGGGTCAAGGATCAGAGCTGGAACAGTGGGTTAGCAATTCATATCACTGCATACATGGCACTCTCAAGACTCACACTTGCTAGGACCAGCCATTGTTGCGGAAAGCGTTGAGCGTGGACACAGAATCGACAACGCTTGCAAGCGTCGCCGGGATTGAAGTTGAAGGTCACATGATGATGAATCAGCTGAATGATGTAATCAGTTTTTGTTGCCCAGGCGAGGTCTCACCATTTAACTAGTTAACTATACCATGCTGAGCTACAACGTTCCACAGTCCAAAAGTTGAAATGACATATGTTATTTTGTTTCTATCTCTATTTACTCTTTTCATCCTCGCTGAATATTCTCATTATTGACGTCTGTGGTTGCAGAGGTGTGATATCCGAGGTCCTCCGCCAACCAGATGTTCTCCATATCTCAGCACTGACGCAACGGGGTATAAATAATGAGACCTGAGAGCTTAATGGTTTACAGAAACGCATTGCGCCCTTTTCCATAATTTGTAAATTACATAGAAGCAGAGAACTTTCCCTCAGTCTCCTCAATCCTCTTCACGGCAAGCTGGTACCCCTCGTTTCTCTCGAGGCGGTTAGCATACTCGACAAGAAGAGGATATTTATTCTTGTTCTTCTCCTCTTTCAACACTCTCATAGTAACAGCCATTACTGGGAAACTCAGCAGGATATCGGCAGCTGTCAGCTCCTTGCCGCAAATGTAATCGCCACCCTCAGGAGATGTGCGGAGCTGTTCCTCAAGGAAGGCGAGGTTACCCTCAACGTTGCGAGTGAGGAACTGATTCTCGACTTGCGAGGCGACAATGCCGGTGATAGGCCGAACAAAGAATGGAGGGGCGTTCCGAATAGCTGTCGAAAATGTCAGCGACGCTTCCAATGTTGCGTCGTGGGTTGACGCTTTAAATGAAAGGTGACTTACAGTCGTTGACCAGAGTCATCACCAAGAAAGGCATCAGACTGCCCTCCACGTAGTGCATGAAGTAGCGATAGCGCATCCACTCCTCGGTCTCTCCACCCACTTTGCCCTCGCTGCCGGGCGTGTACCGTTGTGGTACTAGCGTCGGTCGCGCGCTACTAAAGTGGTCACAGAGGTATTCCACAATCGCACCTGACTCCGCCAATACTAGGGGTTTTGCGGCGCCTGGTGCCTGGATGGTGATCACAGGCGATTTGCCCAGCGGGTGGACCTCCTTCAGCTCAGCAGGGGCGAGCTTGTCCGCGCGACGCTTGAAGATCTTGAGCTCATATTCCAATTTCAATTCTTCCAAAAGCCAAAGGATCCTATGACTTCGAGATTGCTCGAGCCTGGAATGTGAGTCAGTACGATTCTGAAGAGACTGAGAGGAGCGTACCAATAGAGAGTAATCTTGCAACCTTGGTTGTTGTCCATAATGTATAATATGACAATGTTATATTATGTATGACTACAAGTCCAAGTCAACAAAGAAGAACTTCCAAGGTTATAAGTGCCCGCACGTGGATGATGTCAAGATGGCCCGAGGCTTCCAAGTTTATCTCCCAGAAGGGAAAACAGGCCGAGACCTGCAGATTTGACTTCCGGACAAAGGCGTATAACAAAGGTATTCGGCTCAAAGGTTCTACAATGATTCTATCGTGTGTAGACACATCTACTTGGTGTGGCGACCTTTCAACTTGAAGACAAGAAACCCATAACCCTAACATTAACAGATAATACAGCATTTTATAGAATAAAACTGAGCCAACCGGACTAGTTCGTTAATGAGGACATTCCTTCCATGTCCTATAAGGGACCCAAGTTGCCAGATTTGGACTGGACGTGTCAAGATTCTATATCTTCTGCAGTTTCTTCTGTCCTCGCACAGTTTCCATCTTATGCTACCTGGAGGCTTGTCCACATGTCTGCGTTGATTTGCCCCGCACTACCGAGGCTTTACCGGCTGTATATAGAGTATTCACTCTTCAGGTAAAGGGACATTGAACGTTAATGTGAGAAGGACCTAAATCGTCCGATGCTGCGCATCTCCTAACTGTTTCCCGTCATATGACAAACCGAAGGTAGGCTATTCTCCGTCAACAGCAATTGCACATGACTATAAGGAGGACGTAAACTCCTTTCTGGGGAAGCGCAAGGCCAGTTTCCAATTCGATTCCCATGAGAAGAATTCCCAAAATTATCCATGCTAGTCAGAAGTAGATATCAAGGAACTTACAATGAAGCTTGACAAGGTTCCTCTTCCAGCCTTGCGTCGGAAGTCACAATTCAAGGCGGGTTAATCACAGGTGCATCGTTAAGAGGGTCTTGCATGGACGATTGGTTAAGAGATTCTGGTATATCAGTCGAAATTTAAATACATGGATGCTTCGTTTCCAGATATACTCAGGCTCCCTTTAGAGCCTGACCGGCTCTGTATCAAGATGAGCTAATACATGTCCCTCAGTAACCAAGGAGTTCTTGCACGAGCGGGCCGAGACCAGATCAGATAAATTGCCGAGTGTGACCTCAGCGATCTCTTCGAGGGCCTCGCGCGTGAAGAACCCCTGGTGACCACAGATCAAGACATTATGGAAGGTCATCAAGCGCATCAGCACGTCGTCGTCGATGATCTCCCCGGAGTGATCGTTATAGAAAAGCCTGCCTTCGGCTTCGTAGACATCCAATGCCAACCCACCCAGCTGCTTCGTTTTCAGCGCCTGCATGACCGCCGCTGTGTCGATGAGTCCACCCCGCGAGGTATTGACCAGTAAGGACCCCGGTCTAATGCGCGCCAATGTCTCTTCATTGATGAGATGCTTCGTGCTGTCTGTGAGAGGACAATGCAGACTAACGATATGGCTCTCCTTCAGCAGGGTGTCGAGGTCAACTAACGTCCCGTACTGGCGGAACTCTTCGCCGGTAAAGGGGTCGTGCGCAAGTAGTCGGCACCCGAAGCCGTGGAAGATGCGCGCGGCGGCGAGCCCGATGCGCCCCACGCCGATGATCCCAACGGTCTTACCATGCAGAGTATTCCCAAGGAGACCTTCGATGTTGAAGTTGCCCTCACGTACCCGATTGTATGCGCGGTGAGTCTTGCGATTCAAGGTTTGGATCAGGGCAACTGCGAACTCCGCGACAGCTTCGGGGGAGTATGCCGGGACATTCGCCACGAAGAGGCCTAGCTCTTCGGCAGTTTCGAGATGGACATGGTTAAATCCCGCACAGCGGAGCAAGATGGCACGGATCCCGTAGGCGTGAAGGGCTCTCAGCACGCGCTCGTCCAGGGTGTCGTTGACAAAGACGCACACTGCGTCACAACCTTGGGCTAGTGGCACGGTCTCCTCAGACAGCGCGAAGGCATGGTACTCAATCGTGCAGAGCTCGGGGAAGTGCTGCTCACGCACGTGGTCCAAATAGGTGCGGTCGTAGGATTTTGCGCTAAAGACCGCCAGCTTCATGATAGCGTAGATGTTGTGATCCGGGGGTTCCAAGGTTTGGATATTGAAGTATAACCAAAGTCATGACGACATGGGTGTTAACTTATGACGCCTGCAAGCGGCTATTTTGGTATACCCAAGGTACTTCCCCAGATCTCCGGCTGCGACCTCCCGCATCCCAGTACGGACAACATATGTACATAGCCTGTCCTCCAACCCTCCAGAGATGTTAGAAACGGGATATGACCATATGAATACTATCTCCTACCTATTTAGGTATTAGTTCCTAGTATGCATCAACCATCATTGCAGGAGTAGGCGGAATAGTAATGGTCTACTCCGTACTCTGAAACCAGTTCCAATGGCAACTTCAATGTTTCTCTTCTCTAACATATGTATTTTATTCTCCAAGATTGAAGGATAGCATTGACCTCGGCAAGCCCCAAAACCCAGTGTCCACAACTTCCCGAGGTCTTCTGGATTATTACTTTTTTCAGACATGCAGATAATCTTGTATTTAATTTATTTCCATTTCCTACGAGTTGATTGGGTACTTCAGTCTCAGAGTTCCGCGGGGCTCCGGCAGCCGCTGGAGGTCAAGACCAATAGGATGATTGAGATTGGAACGGGCCAATCATAGCTCGATGATAAGAAGAGACGCCGCAAACTATCTGATTGGTCACTCTATACCGTAGCTTGACACTAGTGAACCTAAGGATCCCGAGGAAGGAGCGACATTTTCCCTTTTCTCCTATTTCCAGTGTGTCTTAGATAGATGGACAGCAAGTGCCGGCATGTTACATTGTTATTATTGATTGTATTATTCTACTATGTTTGAAAGTGCGGTGTGTTCATAGAGTCTTAAATACAATATAATTATGTGTTCGAACCCGGGAAGTAGTATATCGGAAATGTGTCCTTCTTGGAAGGTCGACCCATTGCGGATTCCAAGGTTCAAGTGGAGAAACCGCAAAAGGAAACCCGTCACTGGGGCTTCATATGGAAAACCGGTCTGAATCCTGGGCACAAATAGCGGTCAAAAGAAAGTCGAGCTAATCCAGATCTCTAGTCCAGATTATGATTTCATATCGGGGAAATGTACTTTAATCACCGTAAAGGAAAAAGGAAAACAGGAAGTACGTTGGACAAGAGTACGATGTACTCGAGATACGCGGAAAAGACACACGGGCTACTTAAAAGTACTTGGCACTACTTGGCCCCTGCGCAGATGTAGTCCCCGCCACCAAGTACCCAAAAGTAGAAGGCAGACAAGTTGTACTCCCATACGTACAAGATACAGTATCATGTCTTAAGGTAACAGTATCACAGCCAAGTACTCACAGAGTAGTAGTAGGCTCTTCTCTTCACCTTCAATCCAGTCTCCTTCACCTCCTTTTACTCTATTTATTGTCTGTTCTTCTTTTTTTTCTTCTATCCTCTTCTCAACACTGTTCACCCGTTCTCATCTCCAATATCTCCACTTAATCCACTCTCTGCAGACGAAATACACAAATCTTAGCTCCAACGTTCCTGTCTCCACTGGCCTCGGCCACTTACAGTCGACCTGTTTTCTTGCCTCTTCCGCGGCTGAAAGGCTCTCTGTGTACATCGATTTATTCGAACTCCTTTTTGCCCCTCGGTATATGGACGCTTTTTGCCGCTGAGCTTGGGAATACTCTACTCTTAACATTCCGCCTCCCACCTTTTTCAATCTAACACCACCTAACATCCCATCCTCTTCACACCTCTCAACCAATTTCTTTTTACTATCATCATGGCGACTCATGTTTTGACCAACCCGGCTACCAACCAGATTTCGGTTTATGGTCAACCATCCCCAACCAACTCCGCCACCAACACTCCCTCTAACAATTCCCCCACCTCCCCTCGCATGACCAACGCTTCCCTGCACCCACTGCCTTTGCAGTCGCGCCAGCTGCGTCCTCTTAAGGGTCCTCTCTATGTGCCTGCAGCTCTCCGACCCACTGAGCGACCCCAGAAGTCGTCTCCCATTACTCCACCCCGCAGCGCACATGGCTCTCTTGACAGCCTGAACGAGGACTCGTCGGAACCTATCAGTCGCCGCTCCACGATGGAGAGTCCGTCCAGCGAAATTAGCCAGAGCGCCCAGCATGAGTGGATGAAGAATGAGCACCTGGGTGCGGTGACCGGCCTTCCGACCCGTACACACTGGAAAGTGAGTATCTCGAGAAAGAAGTTCCCTTGTTTTCCTTCCTTCGGCGCCTTTATAGGGATTGGCTTCGGTCTGGATTGCGCACTTGTCAAAGCAAATGTCGTGTGAGCTCGTCATTTCCGAGAAATGGCGTGCTGCAGTCCACCGCCTCAGCCCTGTCGCATCCCAGCCACATGTCCTTCGGTCGCATTGGCCACTTTCTTGTGGAACAACACTCGCTAACTTTACCCCCCAGGCCGACTCTGCCTCGTCCAATTGTGATTCTCCCACTTGCCGCTCCTCATTCGGCATCTTCCTGCGTCGCCACCATTGTCGTCACTGCGGCCACGTCTTCTGCGCTTCCCACACACCTCATCTCGTTCCCCTCGACCAGGACGCCCGCTTCCATCCCGATGGTGTCCCCTCCCGTGCCTGCGATCTGTGCTGGAGCGCCCACCAACGTTGGGAAGAGAACCGTTCCGACCGTCTGAACAAGATCCAGAACACAATCGCTGCTCAGCAGATTGGCGTCTCTGTTGCCGACTCCGAGGGCATGAACGCTGAAGATCCCGAGTCCACCGTGGGTCAGACCGGCGAGGTCGCTGCCTCCGTTCCTCGTGACTGGAACTGGAGCACCTTCTAAACGCATTGCCCTGTTTCCTTTGGTTACCGTGGCCAGCAGGATTGCTGCGGTTCGGCGTTTTACTTGATCTTACTTCTCATAATCTTTTCACTTTTTCGAGTCAGCTCACGCGTGACCTGTTTTCTCTCTATTGGCGACCATGGCTTTGGCGTTTCTGACAGGCCCTGGGCCCTGGGCTTTCCTTTGTTTTCTGCAGTCATGTTATGACTTTGCATCATGCCTAGAG